TTTCCTGAAGCTAAGTGTTCATTTAAGTCATGTTTTTGTTTTAATAAAATAGTTCCAGAAAGAATATTGATTAAACTGAATTTTCTGCCATTAATTACAAAACTGGAATTCAGAGACATTTATTAACAGGAAATAGTGATAAATGAATGTGAAACGGCCTAATTAAAGTAAATTGCTAGAACTGTAGAAAAGAATAGGGGAGCTTTAGTAAAGTATAAATGTTCAAAATAAAACTATCTTTCTCCCAGCTTCCCCATAATATTTCTTTGGTTATACTCTAGTAAAATATGTCCACTTGATGCTTCTTAAATATTATAAATCAACTAGTAGGCCTGTGCACGAATCCATGCAACCAGCAGCTCTCTGTGGGGCCTGGCCGCTCTGCACCTGCTGTCCAGAGGCTCTCCATGGCCCAGAGGCTCTCCACAGCCCAGAGGCCCATCTGCAGCTGGGCACGAAAAGCTTGCCTCATTGCCCGGGTGACGACACAAGCACCCCCACACACCCTCTGCTCCATGCCCGCTGCCCAGAGGCTCTCTGCGCCAAGGTGGAATGCTTGCCTCACCTCGTCGCCACTGCAACAAGGCAAGCATTCCACCAGGCTGCTCACGCTGCCTGCTCTCAGCGGCCACTCCCCGGGAACTGGGGACTCCAGTGGGGCTGAGAGGACTGGTTTACCACCATCTTGTGGCTATGAGTGTTGCCATCTTTGTGATGGAGTGACAGTTAATTTGCACACTACCCTTTTATTAGGATAATTGTATATTAGCCTGTATTTTCTAAATTCAGACTCAGTAAGCCTTTCAATTATATATTTTTTTCAATAGATCTAAGTTAAATTCTTTACTGCTATCAACCTGTGGGAATAATATTTTTTGTGGTACTCTTTCTTCCTCCCAGTTGTCTAGGAGCAAAATTGCAAGGTTGTGCAAAAATTATTGGTATGCATTTTTGCTATCTTAACCAGCCCTGAGGGAGATTGCTTACTTGATGGGTCTACAGATTGTTAAGAGGCCTTATACAGTGTCATTCCTAGGAAAGGGAGACAGTAGGTTTTATGGGAAGACCACCTCCTCCCCACTCTTCCACTAGCTCACTGTAGAACTTTGCGCCTGTCTCATACCTCTCTGGGCCTTTGTTTTCTCATCCATACCATAAGGTGGCTGGACTAGATATCTGAAATTTTTTTAGCAGTATAGTTATTTGAAAGTAAAGGATACTATAAAATCCTTACCTGTAATTTGAAGTGAGAGAGAAGTCATATAAGGAACTAATCGATGCAAGCATGTGTTCTTTGGCTTTTTAAATGGATTAAAGGTAAAGCTCAATCACTACACAGAATACAGTGAGATAAAATATTGTCGAAAAGTAGATGACCAAGAACAGGGCAAGGAGAACCTAAAGGTAGGAAAGAAATGTGCAATTAGGAGTAAGCTTACAAACAAAATGAGGGATGTGAGCACTGGTTCTTGGGGAATGTGAATGTTAGTAAATAACATTTTTTTCATTTCTTTCCCATTAAGAATTTTAATCTATACTCAGGTAAAGTATCCCAAACCCAATAGGGATGTCTGCAAATGTTCATTCTGCAGCAAAATTAATTGCTTTGTACTGGTATTCTCTGTCTCTTCTGAATACCATTTTCATCAGCAACCTACAACTTCTTGACAGGTTTTTTTAAATGTTGGAGCCAGCACTGTAACATCTGTGAAAAAGACAATCTGAACTCTCTGGTTGAATTTTTATATAGCACAGATCGTGTGGTTTCTCAGGGACAGTACCTTATAATGTTGATAGCTCAAACTATGATCCAGTCTTAAAACATCTAAAAGATATGCTAATAGTTTTTAAAAATTTAATGAAACTGCCTTTACTGATTTTTAGAGAGGGGAAGGGAGAGGGGGAGAGAGAGAAACATCAATGTAATGATCTGCTGCCTCCTGCACACCCCCTACTGGGGTTCAAGTCTACAACCTCGGCATGCACCCTGACCAGGAATCAAACAAGCAACCTTTCAGTGCATGGGACAATGCCCAACCAACTGAGCCACTTTGGCCAGGGCCCAGATTATCTTTATGCCAAATATTAAATATTTTATTGGACTAGGGAGATGTAAATAATGGTAGGCATTATCATGCAAACAGATTTTAGTTCTTCCGAAACGGGGGAGGGGGAGAGGTTTAAGCCAGTTTTGTATATGAACTATACAATTTACTCAAATATGCAATTTATTTTTAGTACCCCAGATACTCGCCCAGCTGGTCTAGAGGAGGCCGATCAGCAGCCATTGCCTGGAGAACAAGGAATCAACTTGGACAGCTCAGGCCCTAAACTGCCAGAATTTTCAAACCGACCACCAGGTGATATAATGTTAAAGATTATATTCTTGTCATCATTTATACAGCATTACAAGACTTCTCTTCAGGGAAACAATAATATAATATTTTGTCTCCTAACTATGCTAGCAGTTTAATGTGTCTAGTATTTGGAAATTTTGCTTTGATAAGTAAAAATTTCAAATATAATTTCTGAAGGCATATAGATTCTTTTCAAATTAGTGTTTAAGTCCTCATAAGATCAGACTGAAATGTCAAGTGCCCCTTTATTCTTGTCAATATAATTGGCATCAAAATGGAATAAGATTAAATGAAAAGATATTTTCACTTTATTCCTGCTTGCCTGCTTTTTTCCTGTAGCCTTTCCTACTGGAGCTTTTTCAGAGCAGAGAACTACCAGGGTTTAAAATAAGTTTTTAAATAGAAGTTTTATTATGCATCTTTGAACATAAAGAATATATAAAGAGTTATAAAAAGGACACTTGTGAACCTACCACCTAATCTAAAAATAAATAGGACCAATATTGTGTTGTACCCCTCTCTGGTTATAAAATAATATTACCCTCTAAATGTTGAAAAGGAAAATGTTTCCAAAATTCATTCATTCCAACCTAGGAATTATAGAACCAAGGCCAGTTGCCATAATATCTATACCTGAGCAGTGATTTGTAACCTTACTCCCCTGTAACACAGTTGAAAACACATAAGCCTGTCACATTTAGGACACTCTCCTCTATCTGTACAAAAGACTATGTTTTTTACTTTCTCACAAATTATTTCACCTTCTTTTTGGCATATAAGAAAGTGGTGTCATTTTAGGGATAAACTTTAACCCATCCTTAATTTATGTATTTTTAAAGTAATTCAAAAATTAAGTTCATCATGATGTCAATACTTTGTGTTATTTATTACAAATTCTTTGGGCATACCACACTTCCTGTCAGTGAGTTGCAGCAGCACAGTTGAGGCTTGACGGTTACCAGTCTTTGGCATGTCTAGAAGGTGTTCAAACTTCCCTCAGACACATCTGAAGTCTTATTATATGAATCCCAGGGGTCCTCACACCTGCGATAATTGCTTCCTGTCTACAGTTTGCAAACTGGGAGCCTATAGGCTGTGTTTGTGGTGTCATGCAGTGTCTTAAACCAAACAAAAAGCCTAAATTTAAATGCCTTTAGACAAGAGCATTTGCTCAGTGTTTTGACGCTGTCCACAGAACTCCTTCTGTCTTATATCAGGCCACTTCTCTTCACAACCAGCCTGAGCCCTAAAGGCATATGAGTTTGCATCCCTTGATTAATAAATTTGGTTCTTGATTATATTATATGCACTGTGTGTGTCCTGGCTTTTCCTCTTCTCCATTATGTTACAGCAACCTCCATCTGTCTTACCATTAGTGTCCTTTGAACTGCTGCCTCTAGCTTCTAGAACTTTATAGCAGTCATCCCCTTTGCTCTTAACCTTTGAGAGGCTGCAGTATTGTCTATGCTACATTCTTTGGTATTTACTATACTGTCTGGTGGCCTGATTTTAAAAATACAAGGCAGTTGTGTCATAGCCCTGACATCAAGGGTCTTCTATAATAATTACAATTTTCATAACATGTGAACGTGAGTTAAACCTATGGAAATGCCATGTTACTGATTTTATAAATGTAAAGATGTTACTTGAGCCTAAAACAAAAAAGGATTTTTTAAAAATCTTCACAACTGGATTCTGCACATTGTACTCATTGGTGCCATGGAAATCTTTGGCCAGAAGACATTAATTCACTTTTGAGCACAGGGTCTGACCCTGTGGATCAGCAGCATTTGGTAGCTATCTAAAATCTTGAGCAAGCATTTCTTCCAATGCCAGAGCCAACCATTCTTACTCCTGAACCTTCTTAAAACTTTCCAAATGTATTTTTCATGCAACAATGGAATAAATCTAATTTGTGAAATTGTATACCAACTATATGCCCACTTTTTCCCACTGAACCACCTTTATTCTTGGTTAATGTTTTCATCCTTTCGGTTGATGATGTAAGGTTTAGGTTTTAAATGCCAAATAAAATCTTCACAAAAGAATCATTTGAGATGTTGCCTTCTGCAAATCTATAGGGCATTGTCCCTCAGAGTTTTCTTGAAGTTATTATTATTGATTTCAGAGAGAAAGGGAGAGGAAAGAGAGAGAGATAGAAACATGAATGATGAGAGAGAATCATTGATTGGCTGCCTCTTGCATGCCCCACATTGAGGATGATGCTCATAATCCGGGCATGTGCCCTAACTAGAAATCGAACTGTGACCTCTTGGTTCATATGCTCAACCACTGAGCCACGCTGGCCGGTATGAAATTATTTTTTATTCCTGAGGACTATGCTTCTGGCTTACTTATTCTCCAATTATAGATTCATAGAAAATAAAATTAATATACATAAAAAATTTAGTGCCCTCATTTTATTTTTAATGTGTATATCAATTTCTATTAGCCCCAACAATTTATTGAACTGATTTATGTTGGAAGGGTAGTTTAATTCAGTTGGGTTCCCCCAAAGGATTGAACCTAAGAGATGCAGCATGGTGTGTGCGGCCAATGGATTAAAATAAATTTAAATTCCTCTTAATTGAATCCTAGAATGTTATATTTTACTTCTGTTGAAAGACTTGAAAGGCTATCTTGGTGCTTGCTTCGGCAGCACATATAAAATTGGAACAAACAGAGAAGATTAGCATGGCCCCTGCGCAAGGAGGACACTCAAATTCATGAAGCGTTCCATAAAACAGAAAAAAAGGCTATCTTCGATGCTGGCGTTTTCAACAAAACCAAGTCTTAAAAAAATTAATATAGTGAAATATTTATGCCTGCATGAGACCCCAGTGCTGAGTGGTCAGCTTCTTGCTGTTGATGGAGCTTTCTCGTTTCATCTAAATGTTTCTCGTTTCATCTAAATGTATAAAATCGGCCACTTGCAGTGCATAGCACAGAGTGTCTTGTCTATCAGAGTCTTAGTAGTAATGCCTCATTGAGACACTAAAGACTGAGGAGCTCAAGTTGATGCTTTGCTTTTTGCTTCCTTAAGCAGTGTGCCCTTTGCTTATGTCAAACAATGGGGGGGCTGCCCCTGCCCCCCTGGGAGTGGGCATGCCTGAGCTGTTTGTGCACAGTTGCCTAAATGAGTATTGTTTGACAATACTCTGAAGGTAGCAAAGCTTTTCTTGCTAAAAATCTAACTTCCCTGATTTTGGGGGCTTGTTTTAGGTTATTCTTCTCAACCAGTTGAACAGAGGCCACTTCAGCAGATGCCTCCTCAGCTCATGCAGCATGTGGCACAGCCACCACAGCAGCAGCCACAGCCACAACTGCCACCACCACAGCAGCAGCAACCACCACCTCCCAGTCAGCCACAGTCTCAGCAGCAGCAACAGCAGCAGCAACAACAAATGATGATGATGCTCATGATGCAGCAGGACCCCAAATCAGTTAGGCTTCCAGTCTCCCAAAATGTCCATCCCCCAAGGGGTCCCCTGAACCCAGATTCTCAGAGAATGCCCATGCAGCAGAGTGGCAGTATGCCTGTCATGGTCAGTTTGCAAGTGCCACCATCACCTGATAAACAAAGAATGCCAATGCCTGTGAATACTCCTTTGGGAAGCAATTCAAGGAAAATAGTATATCAGGAAAACCCACAGAATCCTTCCAGCTCACCACTGGGAGATATGTCCTCACTTCCTGAAGCAAGTAGCAGTGAAATACCATCTGTCTCCGGAGGCCCAAATAACATGCCTTCACATTTAGTGGTTTCCCAGAATCAGTTAATGATGACAGTGCCCAAACCTGGACCATCACCCCTTCCAGCAACTCAAGGTGCAACTCCCCAGCAACCCCCTATAAATTCCCTGCCTAGCTCTCATGGCCACCACTTTCCAAATGTGGCTGCTCCAACACAAACATCTAGGCCTAAAACACCAAACAGAGCCAGCCCCAGGCCTTATTATCCTCAGACACCCAACAACCGCCCTCCCAGCACAGAACCTTCAGAAATCAGTCTATCGCCAGAAAGACTCAATGCCTCCATAGCAGGACTGTTTCCCCCACAGATTAATATTCCTTTACCTCCTAGGCCAAATTTAAACAGGGGCTTTGATCAACAGGGCCTAAATCCAACAACTTTGAAGGCCATCGGGCAAGCACCTTCAAATCTTACCATGAATAATCCTTCCAACTTTGCTGCCCCACAGACTCACAAATTAGATTCTGTGGCGGTGAATTCTGGAAAGCAGTCTAATTCTGGAGCAACAAAACGGGCAAGCCCAAGCAACAGTCGCAGGTCTAGTCCTGGGTCCAGTAGGAAAACCACTCCAAGTCCTGGGAGACAAAATTCAAAAGCCCCTAAACTCACTCTGGCCTCTCAGACAAATGCAGCCCTGTTACAGAATGTGGAGTTGCCAAGAAATGTATTGGTCAGTCCCACTCCTTTGACTAATCCCCCTGTACCTGGGAGCTTTCCTAACAACAGTGGGCTGAATCCTCAGAATTCTACCGTGCCTGTGGCTGCCATGGGGGGCACTCTGGAGGATAACAAGGAGAGCTTGAATATGCCTCAGGACAGCGATTGCCAGAATTCCCAGGGTAGGAAGGAGCAGGTAAATGTTGAGCTAAAAATGGTACCTGCCCAAGAAGTTAAAATGGTTGTCCCTGAAGATCAATCCAAAAAAGATGGGCAACCTTTGGATCCTAACAAACTTCCCAGCGTCGAAGAGAACAAAATTTTGGTGTCACCTGCTATGAGGGAAGCACCAACATCATTAAGTCAACTTCTTGACAACTCTGGAGCTCCTAATGTGACCATTAAACCCCCTGGGCTTACAGATGTAGAAGTAACACCTCCAGTAGTTTCTGGTGAGGATCTGAAAAAAGCATCTGTCATTCCCACACTGCAGGATCCGTCTTCTAAAGAACCCTCAAATTCCCTAAATTTACCTCATAGTAATGAGCCGTGTTCAACCCTTATTCATACAGAATTGAGTGAGGTCAGTTCTAATGTTGCACCAAGCATCCCTCCAGTAATCTCAAGACCTGTCAGCTCTTCCTCCATTTCCACTCCTTTGCCCCCAAATCAGATAACTGTTTTTGTAACTTCCAATCCCATTACAACTTCAGCTAACACATCAGCAGCTCTGCCAACTCACCTGCAATCTGCACTAATGTCAACAGTCGTCACAATGCCCAATGTGGGTAGCAAGGTTATGGTTTCTGAGGGACAGTCAGCTGCTCAGTCTAATGCCCGGCCTCAATTCATTACACCTGTCTTTATCAATTCATCCTCAATAATTCAGGTTATGAAAGGATCACAGCCAAGCACAATTCCTGCAGCCCCACTGACAACCAACTCTGGCTTGATACCTCCCTCCGTTGCAGTTGTTGGCCCTTTACACATACCTCAGAACATAAAATTTTCTTCTGCTCCTGTACCGCCTAATGCTCCCTCCAGTAGTCCTGCTCCGAGCATACATACAGGTCGACCCTTGGTCCTTAACTCACGAGCCACCCCTGTTCAGCTTCCTTCCCCGCCTTGTACAACCTCCCCATTTGTCCCACCTCATCTCCCCGTCCAGCAAGTGAAAGAATTGAATGCAGATGAGGCTAGTTCTCAAGTGAACACCTCAGCAGATCAAAGCACTCTGCCCTCTTCACAGTCAACTACAATGGTTTCTCCCCTTTTGACCAATAGTCCAGGCTCCTCTGTCAACCGGCGAAGCCCAGTTTCATCTAGTAAGGGCAAAGGAAAAGTGGACAAAATCGGCCAGATTTTGCTAACCAAGGCATGTAAGAAAGTTACAGGCTCTCTCGATAAAGGGGAAGAGCAATACGGTGCAGACGGAGAGACTGAAGGCCACGGGGTTGAGACCACAGCTCCAGGGCTTGTGGGAACAGAACAGTTACCCACAGAACTGGACAGTAAAACCCCAACGCCCCCAGCATCCACTATGCTAAAAGTGACCTCTAGCCCCATGGGCTCGGGCTCCACCTCAGCAGGACCCAGCTTACCTGGCAGTACCCTTCCCACCAGTGTACGCTCAATTGTAACCACTCTTGTACCCTCTGAGCTCATCTCTGCGGCGCCAGCTACAAAAAACAATCATGTTGGCATAGCATCTGAGCCACTTGCAGGTGGCCTAGTGGAGGAGAAGGTGGGATCCCATCCAGAGCTGCTTCCCAGCATAGGTATGTACTCGGGCCTGGCATCATCTCCTCCTGTCCATTTTTTATGACCTATCCCACAAGAGAGCACGATTCCTTTTCTACTTGGAGGAAGAAGAATAGGCTAAATGGCAATAGTGGTGTTTCATTTATTGGAAGTACATTGGGGAAATATATTTTGAAAATCCTATGTTAAGCTTTCATTGATTAGCGTGGTCCTGAAATAATGATATGCCTTTCATTTATATAGTTTTCCATTTTACAGGAAAACTTTTCTACATATGTCACATCTTCATACCAAACTATGTTAGGTAGCCCTGACCCCATTCTATAGATGAGTAGATTGAAGCTCAGAGTAGTTCAGTATTTGTTTAAAGTGTATATTGTTAGCCTCCAGTTTGACATTGACCCTGAAATGTAAACAGCAGCTTCTGCAGGTTCTCCTTACCATGGTAAAAATGCTCTCAACAGTTTCAGAACAGGGTTCTCCTAGCCCCTTCCTCACTCTACTCTGTCCCAGAGACTATTCCATCCAGACTGCTGCTCCAGAAAATCAGGTTTCATGATAATAGACATGGGCAAAATAAAGTGCTTAAGAGACAGGCTTGGGTTGGTAATCACAGCACCAGCATTTACCAGATAAGTGGCTTTTAGGCAAGTTTCTTGACCACTCCAAACTTCTATTTTCTTCTTTGTTATGTGGGGACAATAATAGCTGTAAGCATTCAATGAGATGATGCATATAACATGCTTAGCACAAAACTAGAACATAGTAATAATTTAGTAAATGGTAATAAAAGTGTTATTAGTTTCTTTTTAAATTATTCTATTCTGCTTATGTGTATCTAGTCCAGATTATTTCCTCTGTTAAAGTGGCCTAACAATGGAAGCATAGTTTTCTAATAACTTCCCCCTCTTCCCTTTGCACTCATCTCACACACACACACACACACACACACACACACACACACACATTCTTCTATGAATCTTAAGTAGTGTAGAAGCTAGGAAGGACCTTCGATATATCCTAGGACAGTTAATAATGCCTGTCTTGTTTATGCAGCCAAAATGCTTCTAGTGCCTACCCCTGCGTGGTAAGCACCCACGAGAAGGGGCAGAAAGAACACAAGCTTCAGGGTCAGATCAGAGTTAATTCTAGCTCTACTGGTTACCAATCAGAGTTGGATAAATTCCTTAACTTCTTATAAGCCCATTTGCTTCACCTGTAAAATGGAGATTATAATTCTTGCCTCACAGAATTTATACAAAGACTCAATGAGCCTAGCACAAAGGGGCCAGCACACTGCCTCACAGGTCTCTGGAAAGGCTAATTCCCCCCCTGTGCCTTTTCACTCCAATGCTCAGGATACAGAGAGGGAAGCGGCCTTTCAGGAGCTCACTGCCCTTGCAGAAAACCCAGACTTCACGGGGCTGAGCGCCGATGGGTTCTGGTTCTAGTTCTAGTTCCACGGAGGTAGGTGAGCCCTAAGGATTAAAAAGCAACCTCATATTACTTAAATATAGTCTCTGCTATTAAATGTTTTCATTCTACTTCATCTCAGGGAACTTTTCCCTCTGGTA